TGGATCCGGACAGGCAAAGTAAGGGTGAATTATTTATAGCTCGGTGGGCCCACGACACCTCAGGACATCAAAAGGAAGAGATGCAACATGTAGATAGACTCATGATCGAGGGATGGACTTGGCCATGGACACTATCACAGACGTTATCCATGAATGTGAAACATGCGCTGCAATCAAGCAAGCCAAGCGGTAAAGCCTGTCTGGTATGGAGGACAATGCCTGAAATACAAATATGGGGAGGCCTGGCAGACTGAGTATTTACACTCCCACAAACCCGCCAAAGCAAGTGACATGTGCTTACAGTGGTGGAAGCAACCACCGGATGGCTGGAAACATATCCCGTGCACCATGCCACCGCCCAGAACACTGTCCTGGGTCTTGAAAACCAAGTCCTGTGGCGACATGGCACCCTAGAAAGAATTGAGTCAGACAACAGGACTCATTTCTAAAAGAACCTCATCAACACCTGGGCCAAAGAGCATGGCATTGAGTGGGTGTGTCACATCCCCTACCATGCACCAGCCTCTGGGAAAATCAAATACAATGGACTGCTAAAGACTACACTGAGAGCAATGGGTGGTGGGACCCTCAAACATTGGGATACACGTTTAACAAAGGCTACCTGGTTAGTTTACGCTAGGGGAGCAGCCAATCAAACTGGCCCTGCCCAGTCAGAACTCCCACGTACTGTAGAGGGAGATAAAGTCCCTGTAATACAGATGAAAAATATGTTGGGGAAGACAGTGTGGGTTAGCCCTGCCTCGGGCAAAGGCAAGCCCATCTGCGCGATTATTTTTGCTCAAGGACCTGGGTGCGCTTGGTGGGTGATGCAGAAGGATGGTGAAGTCTGACATGTACCTCAAGGGGATTTGATTTTGGGTGAGAATAGCCAATAAATTAAATTGTATTATGTTAATTGCTACATAATATTTTATGTCATCACTGCTGTGATTGCTACATGCCATAACAACAGTATTACAGTAAGGATCACCCGGACTAATGAAGAATGAACTTTCATGAAACTGCACAAGGTGTAGATGTGATGAAACTGGAACTGGCTTCAGCAATGAGCACCCAGCAACTTCCTTGAGGCTGGTATCTTCAACCCACAGACCATGGGCATGGACCACACCAGATACACCAGCCATGAGTTCTAGATGCACCATGCAACAATCCCACAGCACGCGCCATCTCTCCTGCCCTGAGAGACTGTTATGACGGATGGAGCCCAAAGTCATGGATTAAATGAACTCAACAGACATTTTAGAGGGATGGGCCATAGACTAAGGGAATGATATCTGTGTGTACATATCAAATGACAGGAAAAGTGATGGTGATTAACTGAAATGTATTGGGAAGTATAGGACCTGTGCATGATGTCCGATGGTATGGAATAAGGGGTGGATACTGTCCTGGTTTTGGCTGAGATAGAAAGAAAATTAACTCTAGTAGCTGGTATAGTGCTGTGTTTTGGATTTAGGATGAGAATAATGTTGATAACACACCTATCAGATACACAGCCACACAAATGTGTACATTCATTTATTAGATAGAATGCTCCCAGGAAATTTAATGAAATGCAAGAGTTTATTGTGAAATCAAACTGCAACACTATCTGGTAATGATAATAATCATCTCTTCAGAATAAATCACCTCATGGAACAGTTTTCAATGATAATTCATTGCCTTCAGAGTGTCTGAAAACCACACTTTTAGAAAAAACGTTGTGTAAAGAAGCATATAATCCATCTCCTCTCAACTTTCAATCTTCATGTCATCTGTAAAAAAGAAAGGAATCATATGCTGACATGCTGCAAGCACAATAGTATTTGCAAGAGGAAAAAGCAACAGCGGTTTGTAATAGAACTTCTACTTAAAACTTAATATAGTCAAAAAAAAAAAAGAGCTGGAAATAATTACCAATTGGCTCATACAACTCAGAAATAACAACTTTTTCATATCTGTATGTGGGTAAGTGGCTTTTGTTTAGCTCCATAAACATCACCTATATTTACATGCATATGACCCTGATGCAAATTCAAGAATTCTTTCAAGAAGCAGGAATTACTTATCTCTGAAAGCACATGAGAGTTTCCTTCAGATATATATACACACAAATATATAGAGATAGATATGAATAGTGTTAATAATTGTGATTTCCTTAAATAATGTATTACAGTAAATCTATATCGCAGACTTCAGTACCATAATGACTGCAAAACCAAAATTCTGCTAAACCAGATTGACACAAACAGTTTTGTTTGCTTCCACAGCACTATACAGAGTTTAAACAATGTGTAGCAGGCCAGAAAAATCAAACTGTTTACAGAAGATTATGCACATATGTCTAAATGACCTTTAGAATTAAGACCATAACAAAGCTCAACTATGTATATATCTCTTAAAAAGAAAAATACACCTGACACCTCCATCTGCCTTAAACTAGACTCCACTAGGATCTCCATTCCTCCATCCATTAGCACATCTAATCATGTCTGAACTAACAGCAAGCTTACCTATAGAATACATTAGGCAACTTTGCAAATTTGATAAAAATCACAGCTATTTGCTCATGGAATAATTGCTTAAGATAGAACTGAGTCACCTTTGTGGGAAACAAATTAATTCCATGGAAAGGTATCAAGGTTTTCTGGTTTATGCTGTATACTTTCTCATAAGCAGTACATTGAAAAAAACAGTAAGAATAGACTGCTCTCTATTTAAATGCTAATTTTAGATGTGTATTTTAGCATTAGAGTAATATTAACAGAATACAATAAATCTGAATATAATTAAACTTATGGATAACTGCAAAATACTTGGCACTAATGTACAAACAATTACAAACCTCTGATGTGGGTTTTATTTTGCACTTGCTTTAATTGTGCTTAAAGATTACTTGTTCACACCGTTTTTAAAAATCAGACGCTGACACAAAGACTCAAAGCCTGATGACGTAATGATACTTGTAATTATATCCTTGGGTTTGTTTTTAGGTTTTTAGTAAAAATGAAAAGATTTTGAGACTCCAAAAATTCAGAACACTTTTTTTTCCCCCAAAAAGTATTTGGTAAGCAAAATTATAATAAACTCAAGATGTTTATTAACCATACAGATTTGAGGTCTGTACAGTTGAACATTACTCAGCCGCTACTGAAAATAGATAATCGAAACATTCTGTTTCATTGCCCTAACACAATGCATGTTTATGACTCAAAGATATTTAAATTATTGTGTGATAACGTTAACACATTCACTTTAAAGACTTTTACCATGAGATGTCCCATATGGATATTTACTTAACAGCTGAAATCTCCTTTTTCAATAAAATTACCTCTTAGTGACTATGTCTACTACAACATGTATAAACAGTTACCTGCTCACTTCACTACATAGGGGCTACAGTGCATGGTGTTTTGCTTGATTTAACAGATCCCATCTTAACAGTAATAAGGAGAGAAGGTAGTTGAGGCTGAGTCATACTTGACTCTGACTGTACTAATTCCTGTGAAGGCAGTCAAGTCAAACTTGAATTTTTCTCACTGTTGGTTGCTGAAGGTGGTGGTGTACTATGTAGTCATGTTAATCCTGCACAAGGTCAGGTTGCCCCTGGCAGAGATGGTTCTCTGCGGTGTTCCCCATTGCCACCACTGCCACCCCACTCTCCTCTGGGGCAGACCTCTTCCTTCTTCCCTTGCTCCACTCTTCTGATGCTTGCATCTACATGAAGAGCAAAGCTGACATGTGAAGTTAGTTGAAAACTAACCTACCAAAAAAAAACCCCCAAAACCCCAAACCAAACCCCCAACCTTTTCTACAGCTATTGTATTTCTGTTTTCTTCCTATTGCAGCTATGGCCTAAATCTCATAATGGGCAAGTATGGCAAGTGAGTCTGGATACCAAGTTTGTCTGGCAGTGTAAAACCAGCAATAACAAGCCTTCTTGCTTTCTGATCGGTGGAATCACTTTAAAATCATACTAACATTCCCTTCAGTGTAGAAAGGTTAAGTACAAACTATCAAAGAAACAGTTGTGATCATAATTAAGAAATTATAACATAGTAAAGAAGTATCAGAATGTTCTTCTAAATTACCAATGAACATGAAAATATGTTTCTCTAAATTCAGAATAGATTACCAGTACAACAAAGATCTGTCTTGGCAAACCTAGCAAAATGTATTGCTTTCTAATACAATTAAACTATAGCACTTTAATCACAAACAACTTCATACTGTCACAACTTTTATGAAAGAAATGAAAGATGTAGATGGACCCACCTAAAATCTGGTTTATTTGAACAGTTTGCTTTCCAGGAAGAGAAGTGGTCTTAGGCTAAAAATCTAAATGTAGATTTAGATTACAATATCACTATATAATTGCATTTAAGTAAAGGACATAAAAAATAGAGACATTTCCAAAATCTTTTTATAATACCAGATAGGGTGAATTTAATTTTTTTGCTGGTTAAAGTCTACAATTTCTATACTGAACTAAAAGTAATTTATAGGAATTATGCAGTATTTATTAATTTTTTTATCTTCTATGCATAAATTTGAACTCCCTGAAAGCAATTTATTATTTTTAATATAGCTAGGTCATGTTTGTTTCTATATTACCGAGTGTATCTTATTAAAAAAATTCAACACTTGGATTTTTGTGTGAATTGTTATACCAACTACTGGGAGAATATTTGCTCGCCACCGAACAGTGAACATGACTTTCTACTACCAAAAAGATAATCAATATGTGTTGTCAACGCTGTTTTCCAGTTGACAGAATTAATCAACATCAATATTATATTTCATAAGAGTCCTAGTCTTATAGTCAATTACGTCAGGGCAAGAATTTTAATAAACATTCTGTTATTTTGTATGTATTATTTATGGCACAGTCTTACATTTTGTAAAAGTCTATCCTTGCCCCACCGTAATAATCAGTGTGTATTGGTGCATACCTTTGGTGAGAACCTGCTTGGGTTTTTTTCATCATAATCAAAAGCCTATTCTAAAGGGTTGTTAAGAGTCTCACCAACTTTGGTTTGCAGTGGTATGCCGAGAATGTCAGCCTCTGTGGATGGCTCATTGTTCATGCTGATGCAATATAATGGTTCACCCAAGAAAGAAGGTTTCTTCAACCTTTTTGTGTTGAGTGCTCTTGACATAAAGTAACCTTCAGTAATACTCTTATCTCCCGTCTTCTGTAAACCTTCTAAGTCATCAGGTTCCTCTTTTTGGGCCAATGAATCCTTTGATAAGTGACTATCAGCCAATGCTTTGCTGATATAGTAGCCAGGCATTTCACTTTCTGCATTAACACATAAGCTTTTGTCTTCGAGTCCAGCCTTTTCCTGAGCCGTTAACATCCCTACAATATGGTCTTCAACTAACATTTTGGAAAGAGTAGATGTGGAGTGAAAAGTGGAGTCTTGACTTGTGTAACAAGGGGAACTTAATCCGCAAGAAAGAGATTCCTGAGACTTTGGCATGGTAACGTTGCTTATTGTTCTCCGAGGCTGCATACATTCTTCCAGAAGGGTCTTAAGCTGCTCTTCAGAGAGGCCCGTTTGTTCTTCAGTCTGAAAAAAAAAAAAAATGAGGCAAGAATTTCTTCTGTCAAAATATAATTAATGAAAAGCAGCACCCTAAAGCAGTTTGAGAGATACAAAAGCACTGGCAGAACTCTTAAACTGATATCAATATTTTTCAGTTCAAAGTGAATTTAAATATACATTTACATAATTACCTCGTGTATGTAACATCTTCATTAGGTTCTAGATAGATTAGATGCTAAAAGTTAGGACAGAAGTCTGATGACCACAAGGCACTGAGAGGCCTTTGATTTTGCTTAGTCTTCCACTAGATATCACTGTTCTGTAATTACCAAAGCACATATATACTTTTTCATGTATCCTGGTTTGTCGTGTATACACACAGACACACACGCGCTTCAAGATTTTAGTTACTGAAAGCAAAACCGCACATTGCTAAAAGACTTTCAGCTGTTGGGGAGATGCAACTGGGGTCAAAAATGGTTTTGGACAGCACTGACCCACAACAATTGTCACATATTGACTGAAGTATTTCCAGCCGCTCACTGTAGAAATACAACATAGCCTCTCTCAACCAGGTGAGAATAAGCACATCAGTTACTCATCTACAGGACCTACCATGTCAAGTATGTCCCATGACATGTGACAGCAGAAAGCCTCATCTTCTGTATGATGGTTTAACTGCTTTCTATGAGCTGTCACTGCTTGGATAGCTTACAGATGTATCTTTTCACTCAATTTCTTATTCAGTGGCACACTCCCATGATTTTATCATGCAGGTTTCCTTTACTGGACATTTCTTAAAATTTGATATTAAAAAGATAATGACTGATATTAGCTGGTAATGGTGAAGAATAGCAAAGGACATTTTGCTTAGAGAGCTCTGCAGTGGGGAGTTCCTTCTAGCCTTTACAGTCCTTCATGCTCCTTGGTAATAGAGAAGCACATCATTCCCTGACAATTTAAAGATTATAATGAACAGTACAAGATGTATTTTAGATATGTGTAATACATGTGCCCATGCTGGTTTTACACAACCTCCAAGAGACAAATGATCAGTTGACAATCTGATGAACTCCCTAAGACTGCAGTGATTTATGGCAAACAATGATGTTATTCACCATGTAATGACTATTATACAGAATTTACATTGTGCTAGAGCATGGAGCTACTGTCATTTCATAGGAAAGATCAATATCAGATGTCTAGCTGATTTTTTCTTTTTTTCCTGAAGACCTCTTATCCAACTACTGGCATTTATATGACCCTGTTTGATGTATATGACCTGATGAGATCACAGCCCACGTAGCACATGGTTATGGATTATGCCTGAAAACTGATTGTTCATGTTCATGAATGGGGACAGTTCTCAGTCAGGAAGGCAACAGCATTTCTTTGTCAACCTTGTTGTGACTATTAAAAATTACAAGGTGACACTACAAAGTGAACAAGAAAGACATTTTAGGTTACTTTCAGTCACCATTCAGTATTTACATGTTCAAACATTAATAATAGCTAATAACTGCTACTCGAGACTGATGACAGTTCAGGCACTAGCTGTTGTACTTAAACTCAATTTTATAAATTTACTCAACCTTTTTTCACTAGTCTTTTCCTGCATAGACCAATTTCCTTCCCAAAGATACTTTGAGTTTACAAGACACAAAAGAAGACAAATGCATTAAAGAAATGGAGACAGAAGGTCTTTTAAACAACAACAAAACAAAAAAGAGCATCAACAGACTATAATTATGTGTAGAGAGCTTTATTTAGATGAATATAAAATCAGGTAATTATATTGAGATTCAGCTAATCTTAGTATCAATCAAAGTATGTTTGATTATATAACTAAAATCAAACCACAATCTTAAGCACTTATTTAGATAACAAAGAAAAAATTATGACCTCTTCAAACTTTTCTCAGGGTTGTTTTTTTTTTTAATCCTAGTGCAGAAAGTACTCACTGCTTAAAAATAAGTCAGAGAAAAACAATTAGTAGCAAAACACATGACAAATCAAAAATGAAACATGGAATTTTTCAAATTTTCACTCTCAACCTAATTTTGAAGGAGTATTTTAACTTGCAGGACAATGTCTGTTTACAAGCAGTCATTATTAGAATGGACTTGCTGTAAGAAACAAGATGCATTCACGCAGGCAGAGCACCACAGGAACATAGTTAGACCACTACTGGAAACACAGCTGCATCCAGAGTATATCCACAGAGCAGAATATTATGCTACGTAAACATAACTATATTTGTATCACAGAAGATTCTCACATCTGCAAACCCACATGGTTTCCCATATGTTTTTGAGTGTGTGGTTCTTTACTAACATATTTCAAAGCTCTTGGCCAAGATCATTTGGAGTTAATTTTATGTTAATGACAGGGCAATTCACTCACTGCAGAAAGGAATTCCGCATCTGGTGTAAATGAGTGACTGAGTATGAAATGAACGTTAGTGAGGAAGGTCATCTTGTCCTGACTTTTGCCCTTTTATTCCCCCCCCATCCCCACCCCATTTATCTGCAATCTTTTTTTCCCTGTCCAGATTTAATTTTTCCTTTTTTTTTTCATTTCAGGGAAATCATATGGCTTGTATTGACAATTAGCTCATAGGTTACCTTGATTAGTACCAGAGCGCTAGCTGGGGAGATTTAGAGCCTAAGGCAAATGAGGAGGGAAATGTGTATAGCAGACACAGACTGAAAAACTTTGGTAACTTGTGGGCTGGTTTCCTCCAGAGTGGCAGGCCTGCAGGCAAAGCAGACAGTGTAAAACATTACTCATTTTTGTTCTTTCTTTATCTCTTCCTACCTTTGGATTGTTTTATAAGGTAGGCTTGCAAGGATGCAAAGATAAGGAAAAGGAAAGTATTTAACATATCTCTCAAAAAATTACATTTTAAAATAATAAAGGCTCACTGTTTGCAATTTTCTTGTGCCAAAGTCATTTTAGGGTTAAGGAAAAATATACAGTAGATGAGAAGACAGCTCTTAAATAGCCATCAGTCATCCACTCAGCAGCAAGAAATTTATATTGAACTGAAAGCAGAAAGGCTGCTGTTGAAATCAGAAAACTGTGTTTGGGGAAACACATAATACCCTAAAGAGACACCTCACACCAAACAAGGCTATGCATTTGCAACCAGATGAGCGTTTTAACTCGTGGGATCGCAGAATACAGCAAGTGTGTTAGGAGTTTGCAACACATACATTTGCACCCACCAGAAGTTTAGAGTCACAAGACGCAGAATCAGTAACACACAGAATCTTAGGGAGACACTAGATTTTACTTCTCCCAAGGTTTCACTGCCCTCACTGTAAATCATTTACAACTCCATACAGAAAAAATACTTCAAGATTTTTCTTTAAAAATACAAGGACATAAAATGAATGTAATTCAAAATGCAGAAACAGCCCACTAGACAAGGGAAAATGAGCTATTAGGTCTGGTTCCCATTAGAAATAGGAAAACCTTTTAATTGTTCTGTCTAATTTTTAATAGGACACTGAGTCCTATTCATTTCCTAGGCTTTTTACCGTTAATGATCCAAAAAACTAATTCCTAGCCAGGAGTTTAGGAGGCTGCTAATGACCTTTACGGTTTATGTGTGGCTAGTTTTTCACACACTTGTGGCCCTTCCCTGACTGAAGATTTCTTGTTCCTTGCTGAATTCCTCAGTGACATGGGTCTATAGAGGAAACCTTACTGCATGTGGTAGGAATGCAAACGTGTAGATCGCTGTGGACAGACCTGCTGTGACTACCGGCTTGCAAGTTCAAAGCTTTAGGCTTGTTTTCCACATCTACACAGCAACAGACAGACTAACACTGAAAGGCCTTATCAGATTTTAGCATGGGGAGAAAGCTAATACTTCAGGATTCTTTCTAATTATAGTAAATAATCATAAAATGGCACACAGGAAATGAAGAAGCACTAGAAAGCCAGGACTATTTAAGAACTCATATAGCTGGCATGTGTATAAACATATATTCTGTTGCTTGATTTTAAAGTATTACAATCAAGAGTTCTCATGATAGTTTATCTGCTTGGAATAGTTTAGTCTGATGCTCCAATTTACTTACATTTTTACTGATGGGTAGGACTGCAACAGTCAGTTCTAAAGTAACTGCTCCCTTCCTGATAAAAAAGACTCCATTTTAAGCGTACACTGATCTATTGAGACAACATTCAGATTTTTGACATATCAGCACAGGAGGTTTTTGGAAGTTTTAGTTATTTCCTACTTATTAATAGTTTCTCAGACAGCTCTGTTCTGCTTTGAAAAGGCAGTCCTTGCCTTGTATCTCCACACTATTCAACATGCACCATCAACTCCAAGGTCTCACCGTTATGCATCACACTGAAGCACCATGCACTTGTCTATGAACAGTACTGGTCAGTGCTACTGTGGAATATTATGAACATGCTGCATACAAAACCAGATGCATCATGTCATTGGAGAAGAGCTTCTTACAATTTCCAGAAAGGCTAAAAGCCCAAAGTTCTTTTGCACCACAGAAGTCAGGGCTCGTGTCCGTAACTTGTAAACTAATTTAAATTATGGGAATATGTCCTTATGAGACTGTTGTGGGTTAAGCCCAGTAGGCAGCTAAGCACCACACAGCTGCTCCCTAGCTGGCTCCCTCCTCTTCCCCCTTCAGGGGGACAGAGGAAGGGGAAAGGAAGGGTAAAAGCAATAAACCTTAAGATAGCCTACAGGTTATACAAGTAAAAATAATTATGACAAGTTCTTGCAGGCAAAATTAATTTAAACGTGCATATTTTATTCATTATAAAGAGGCATAATACTTGTTTTTATTTTATCTTTCTCAAATATAGACAGTGAATTGCTTGCGGTTTGAATGTGCAAATAATGAAAAATTGTGCTTCATCATCTATGCCACACCCTGGACCCTTTAGAAAGAGAAAGCAACTGGTTGCCAGAGGTGACAGAAGTAGAAAGAAAAAGGAAGCTAAAATATGTTTTACAATCATTTTCTTCTCATTTGATACCACAG